TTTTGGCTGACACAATCCTGTGATATTGTATTTATGGGCATATTGGGGACCAAACCGAGTCAGGTTGACACTGTTAGGTCGGGGCGTATTGGGTCTTGAACCCAGGCAATTAAAATTAGAAACAACAGTTGACACTGGGCTCATCTTGGCTAAATGGTACTAAACCCTCAGGTTGACACTGGGATGGTCTGGGCTTAATAGGTACTAAACCCATTCAAGTTGACACTGGGCTGGTCTGGGCTTAATGGGGAAACAGACACTGTCAGGTCTGAGCTAAATAACTGGACTAAAAGCATTCGGCCTGATGCTGTCACATCTTGGCTTAATAGGTAATATGCCCATTCAGGTTGACACTCTTAAGATTTGGCTTTAATATGCACTCTCTCACTGTTGTTTCTAAGCTTAATTGGTTCCAAACCCAGACCTGGGTTTAATGGGTACTAGACTCATCCAGGTCGAGTCTGGTTGATACTTTTTTAATAATGAAATGTTGTTTATTTGGTATCTGAGTAGGACTTATCAACACTTATCAGATGGCAGGAAGAACAAATCAAAGAAAGGAAAGAAAAGAAAAATGATAATATTGTCATTATTCTACTAAGAAGAGATGAATGCAATAAAACTGGGGAAGATGAACTTGTTGAAGCCCTGAAAGACAAGTATGATGTACTCAGAGATAAACTTATTGCTGAAGCATTGATGAAACAGGTTTGTTTCTATTTCTAATCTCTGGATGCAGAGAAGTGCAGTAAAGTCACTACTGAACTGAGTTTGTCGGGTCAAAGGTCAGATATTTACTTTCTCATTTTAGATGAGTGAGGCTGAATGGAATAGACTTTCAGAAAAAGAACGACAAGAAAGAATACTCAAGATGAAGTTGGAGTTGAGACGATTGCTTGAAGAAGGAAAACAAGATGAAGTGGCTAGGTTGCTAGGCGATGTGATTGAAACCCAGAATGCATTGGAAAGTTTGATGGGAGAAAATAGAGCTGAGTATGAGAGGAAGTTGAAAGAGAGGTTGGCCAGAAGAAAAGCAAGGTTGGCGAAAGGTGAGATAAATTTTGACGTCTTAACATTTGACGTCTTACCATGTAAGATATGAGTTACAGTTTATGTCTTATTTGTTTGTCACATTAGAGTATTCAACATGGTGACACAACAAGATTCCTGACCAGTGGAAAAGCAATATTTCTTGCATCTTTTTTTTTACACCATATTAAAACAAAAACAAAATAAAACGATTACACAAGAGCTAAATAGATGAATAAATAAATTACTACAAATCTATAATGAGCTGCTTATATTAAAGATCTTGGAAATAGTTTTCTGGAACTAGTCTACTTTGTGACCCTTTAAATAATAATAATAATAATAATACTGATTAATAACAATAATAATGATGATAATACATACTAAAAATAAACAATGTGTTCTTAATGTTAGGTATGTCAGAATCAGAGGTCATTAAACTTGAAAGCATAGAAGAATTAGCAGAAGAAGAAGAACTGAAGAAAAAACCCAAACCTAAGAATATCTTAAAAGATCTGGATAGGAGATATGATGAGGTAATAATTTGTTTGTGTCAGGCAACAGTTTTTTACATTGAATGTCACTGTTGTCTCTCCTGATTTGTTTTCGGTGTGCAAATTGTGATATGCAGGAGCTGATAATACATATAGTAAACTTGTTGCCACGGAAACCATGTTTCATATTTTAAACCTTCCTGTCATATTGAATGGTAAGATAATGTGTTATCCAGGCATTAACCAGGTCTGGACAAATATAAGTGGATGCAGACCATGTGTCATGAAGTCATATACATTGGTGAAGAAATCTCTGCCACTGGTTTTTGTCTCTCATTGAGTGTGATATACTCACCCAGGGTAAGGGTCAACACCTTTTTAGTGTTCAACCCCAGGTAGGATTTCAAATTGAAACCTTCCAAGCACGGACCCAGGCAGCAACCACTTCACTGTTTATTTTATATTTCAGTATAGGTTGGTGACTCTTAGAAAGACTTTCTTACAACAATTTGTGTTTATTTCTATCATTGCCAAGTTTTGTTGATGATTATGAGAATTATGTATTTGTGTAGGAAAAGGCAGCATTACTCGCCAGTTTGAAAGGTCAAGATGATAGACTATTGAGCGAAAGACTACGACAGGCAGAGTTATCAAGACTTAAGAGAGAACAGAGAATAACAAGAGAGGAAGATAAGTTTGAAGCAGCCGCCATTTTGCTGGGGTTAGCAGAACACTATGGTGACGTGTAAGAATGTTATTTAATTAAAAACATTCTTTAAAATATAGTAATATTAATACATGTATGTGTTTTCCCATCCCAAGTATCTGAGTTGTCAAGGTGTGTAAATATTGACAAGTTTAACCCTATGAATGCCATATTGTTTTTTGCAGTTTTTTTTCCCATAAATTGTTAATTTTAGACCAAATCAGACTTAGTTTTTCATTTAAAGTACTGGTACTTGAAGTTTACAATTTGCAAACTACTTGGGTAGTCCTTTGGAAATAACTTGGAAAAATTTTAGAAAATTGTTACGTTATTCGTCCTTAACATAAGTATTTGTGCAGGAAATGTAAACTCATTTGCTTAAACTATGAAATTTGCATATGTATGAGATTGAAGTTATATTTTTTTATGACATTGCACAGTGAAGCAAGGAAGCGGTTAAGACAAGAAGAGCTGGCAAAACAAAGATTAGCCGAAAGGAAAAACAGACGAGCTGATGCAAAGAAAAGATTAGCAACGATAGAGGAGGAAGTTGTAACCATGCCTGAAAATGAAGATGATGTCATTGCTTTGCAAGATGCTGTGTTGAATGAAGTAAATAAGAAACATCGTGCAGAACGAGAACTCCTGATTGCGGTAAGAAAACCTCTCAATAACAAAAAGTTATGTTTCTGGTCGGATTGCTGTTCTTTCACTTATTTAGCCCCTGCAAAGCGCCCTCTGTTGATGAATCAATGAAACCTGAAAAATGTAGGCCCTTTCAAACATTTTGACAAAAATGAAAAAAATCACCTTTTCACCCCATTTTTGAAAAGCAATATGACCAGAAACAGTCTTTTTTTTTTTTCGAGGCCTAAAAGACACTGTTTGCGATGAATTCAAATTTCGTACTACTGAGCATTTTACTGGGCATATCCACAATGCATTATGGGATATAACCTTGCACTTGTCAGTGGATAACTATAAACACCGAGAAAAAATATTTTCATTATATTTGGATTTATGTCAGTACCAATATATGACTTTTTCATTGCATGTCACCAAACAAAGTTTTGAAATATGAAGAAATAATCTTACCATAGAAACTGGCATAAAAAGCCAGTTTCAAACATTTTGGATTCTTGTATTTCAAAAAATTATCCGGTAATTTTTAGCATTCTGATGGCATAAATGATGGTGAACATGACATATAATCTTCATATTTTTATTATTACAGCTTTTACAAGAACAAGAGAACAGCAAACATAAGAAAACTGCCAAAGATATGAATGAGGACGAACTCTACAATAAACTGAATGAACTGAAATCATACCGAGCTCAGTGGAGAGAGTCTTCCTCTGATCCCTCACAGCAGATACAGATATTTGAGGTATGGTAAACTTAGTTTATAGTATATATTGTATCAAGGATTTATAAGATGAGGTATACAACTTTCATAACCATGTACAGTGATATCCAATGAAGAAAAATCTCTCATTCTCTGTGAGCATTGAAAGCAATTTTATTCCGTGCATGTCTATCGAACACAGTTCTAACCAATTACATCACAGAACTCAGTGGACGCTTGAAAATGTTCCATTGAATAAACAGAAATGAGCGGTATTATCAGCACTTTTAAAAACGTAAAACACATGTATCACATTGCTTTGCTTTACATATATTAAAGCAAGGCCCTACCAAAAATGGTCTGAGATAAACACAAACCAGTTATTCCACAGACTCACTCTAATTTGCATTTGAATTTCTTTTATAACTGTAGGTTTCTCTTGTGATTTTGTGATCATCTCGCAATTCGCAAGACTTCTTCAATTCATGTGGGATCTTCATCTCATATCACACTTTTGCATATCCTAATCTCACGAATTCGTCTTTATATAAAATTAAAAAAAAATGTTATACTGTTGTTGTGCATTTAATTTGGTATTCTATCATCTACTGGATTGACTGCATTGTAATTTGGTGCACAGATACAATGTGATAAACACCAGATCTGATTTGGTTGAATCTGTTCATATTATGCATATTAATTAACTATTTTGCATACTATATAACTAGTTTGTTTGTATCAAAACAATTGTTTACTCAAATAGATTATTGAACTTGCCATACAAATATACAGTATGTAGTTGAATATTAATTTAGAAGTAATTTGCATACCAGTAATAACTAATTAATAGCAGGAAGGACTTTCAGTTTATGTCTTGTTGTTTGTTATATATATTCACAGGAAGCCATTGCTATGGCCATTGAAGTTCGGATTGCTGAGCTCGCC